GGATTAAGTGGATTATTTACTTCATTTTGATAACATGTGTAACTAGTTGAGACTACATGACTGTTTGCTAAAGTTCCAGCAGATGAGGCAGTAATAGTATCATAATTCTTGAATTTCATCTCCTGTATCATATTATAGTACATCTTGTGATTCATTTGTAATGTGTGTAACTAGTTGAGACTACAAAACTGTATGCTAAGTTTAAAAGCAAATGAAGCAGCAATAGTATCATAATTCTTGAATTTCATCTCCTGTATCATATTATAGTACATTTTGTGATTCATTTGTAACATGTGTAACTAGTTGAGACTACAAAACTGTATGCTAAGTTTACAAGCAAATGAAGCAGCAAAAGTATCACAAGTTTTGAATTTCATCTCCTTAATCAAATTATAGTACATTTTGCGATTCATTTAGCTTGATATGGGAATTTGACTGAAAAATATCATATTCACCTTTTCTCCCTGCTGAGATGTTGAGGCAGATCTTGTTTGTCTAGTAACAGGTTTTGAGTTAGCCTGTTTCCCAGTTACCTTCGTCTGTGTCGTGCTCTGAGAACCTGTGGGCTTTGATGCAACTTTTCTAGGTGCAGACTGTGTTGTTTTCTGTGACTTGGAACGCAAATCTGCTCCACTAGTTGATTTAGCTGGAGGTTTTGTTGTGCTTTTACTAGTTTTATTCTGAAGTTTTCTACTGGATGTTACAGGTTTAGTAGGAGTTAGTTTCTTGATTCCTAAACAACCCAAACACAAATATTTTCATGTTTGTTTTTATCAGAGATAATTTAAAAAAATAGGAATGAACCTTAGTTCAATGTTAAATAATTACTAAAGTATTTTAACATTTTATTAGGCCCTGCACTTCAACTCTTTCAAAAAAAACGACAAATTCTAAAACTAATCGAAAGTTTAGTAGTTAGTTTTTAAAACACTTTTTAGCTAGAATGAAAGTTATGTGCTCAGAATGCATTTCCACTGAAGTTTAATGTGTTTTACACTATACCCCAATCCTTAATTCAGATGAGAATTCACTATTTAAGATAACATCAAGAGGAAGATAACAATGTACATGAACAGTAAAATTTACCCAAAAATAAATTATAAAAAGAATAACTTGTATAAATGAATTTACAATAAACTCTAGAGATTCATATAAAATTGTGTGTATTCCATAACAGCCTATTTCATATATTTTATAATCTGAATTTTACTGTGTTAGGAGTAAGACTTATTACTAAAATGTCTTTGAATAAATATCCCAAGAATAAAACTTTTTCCTTAATTTCAACAAAATCACTTGTCCATTTTTGTGCTTTCTAGAAATTCAAATATAAATATAAAGCCACTGAGGTAAAAAGTTATGGACCCATTATGTGAATTTTAAAAGACGTCCATTTATAAGAACAAACAAGTATAATTAAATCAAATTTATAATCAATTTCAATGGATAACCTTTCATTACCCATACCTGAGTTTTTCTCTTCATCATTTAACTCGGCTGTCAAATCATCATCATCTGCATTCTCCAATAGTTCATCCAGTACATTAACTTCTTGATCTACAAATTATTAAATGTGTGAGGCATAAAAGGTAATTAATAGATATATAAAATGATTTCAATTTAGACAAGACTCCATTTATATTTAATGAAAAGCATCATACAATGCAAGTTGACATAAACAATTGTGTACCTTCTGTCTTTAAAGGTTACAATCATTAGAATTGCAAATATTAAAAATTTACTTTTAATCAGACTAATTTACTAAAAAATGCCTTTATACAATTACTTATTAAACTTTTTCCGAAACAATTTTAATTTAAAAAATACCCCACAACTTTACTATTTGTTTCATTAATTAAAGGTAACTGTTGAATCATTATATAAGAATATTTTAAACTAAGATGAATACGTTTGCAGTTTAGACAGTATTACTTTTCAAACAGGGTGGTTAGCTTTTGGAATGAGATGCCTTCCAGGGTGGTGGAGGGAGAAAAGTTAACTGAATTAAAAAACAAAATTGGATGAATAAATGAGTAGTAAGGAGTGATTATAGTTGAGAGCTGAAAAGGACATCCTTCATGGGCTAACAAGCTCCTTTTGGTCCATTTAAAATTTTATGAAATGAATTAAAGATGGCCTTTTTTATAAATGTTAATGTTTTCCTTATCTGAAAATATATTTCTGATAGATACTTACCTCCTTGCATACATTAGCTATCTCTCATGGATCTGCTTTTGAGATTTTGCACATTCCATGAGCCTTGAGCTATCTCCTACCTAAGACCTGTTATAACGTAAACTGCACCATTGCATGGTATAATGCAACAATAGTCCTCAACTAATAAGATGTTGACACATCGTCCAAGCACAATAGGTCCCCATAAGCAATTGTAATCGAAACTCGCTTCATTTTTAGATGAGGCAAGGAATAATGTGCACTGGTAGTGGACAAGATGGGTGGAAAGGTGTGCAGAAAGATAAGAGAACATAGTAGCTAGAATCCCACATTGATGTTGTGGAAGGGCTGGTGCAATTGTGAAAACCTAGATGAGCTCCCTTTGGATAAAGCAACTGAAAATGAAAGCCTATGGAATGTGACACCCTACAGTGGGGGCTTAAAAGAGGGATAACCCTCATGGGAGACCACATCCATCTCATGCAGGGTATACTCTTCACCATGATGGAGGTGTGAAAGGAGAAAGCAAAATAAGACAATGTGTCACAGAGATGGGCAGAGAAAGACATGACCAAAGGAGCACTTGCATACAACAGGTCAGTAGGACATTAGGTGTAATGTGGCTAGGGCAATGTTCAAACTGTACAAGTTATTTACCTTACATACAGGAATGTTACATGAAGAAAACACACTGCCCTTTCTAGCTGGCTAAACCTCTAGGAAATTGGCATATCCTGTAATATGGGTTGCTCTGTATTACATTGAAATGGACATCCATGCCCTACTTCCCACCACATTTGCTTCCCATTCTGATTCTATCCAGAAGGATTGCACATGAACTCTCCATGTTGACCACCCCATTAGCTAGGAACTGGTAATGGCAAGGGTCTCCCATGCTCACTCAATGACAAGAGGATGTAATCAAATTGGGGAGGCACCGGAGAGGTGTCCTGATCTGACTGGTCTAATCACTGCAAGGGTCTTTTACCAGAGAAAGTCCAATGGGTTACCAAGAAACCTTATTTGATAATCCAGCATGAATGAGCCCCCCCCCTTACCTGGAGATCTACTGTGCATGAAGAATGTGTTGCCCTCCTAATCATATATGGTTGCAAGGGGCTATAATTATTTTCGGTAA